GCGTTAGCATCTAATAGTCTGTGGACACAATCAAATCAAGACACAATAAATTTTAAGAAATGTCAACGTCAAGTAATTTTTTTATAAGTTTTCTGTTTATTAGGATAGGCAAAGATTTTACCATACATTCATCATACATCCTCTTCCTATACACGTCAAGTAGTATCTCCTAATCATAGATTTACTAAATCTATGCTCCTAATAGTTTGTGACGTCAAGAGAAATATGTTTTTATTTCTTATTTTTCCTGGCTTTTCACGATTAATGTTTGAACCACTTACAAGGGTTGAATTGTTTCTAAATGTTACATTAACGAAATTTACAAATGGGATAAGGAAGATGGAGAAAGAGTGCTTTATTCAAAAAGAAATTTGAAGGAAAGGCAAAGTAGTACATTAAACCTACCTATAAAAAAACTATGATGTAATAAGAAGAATAATTGGCTTTATTCAGCTTAAATATAAAAAAGGGACAGGTCCCTTACAATAATAATACTATGCAGTGTTAAATCCTGTGTACTAAATCTATCTATTTCTCTACGATTATAATTCGTTCTCCGATTGAGCTATATCATATTAGCATAACACAATAGAGACAATAGTATCTTTCAGACGTTTAAGCAACAGACTATGGTAATGGTGCTTTTCGTCTGTTTTCTAGCCGCACAAAAAAGTAGGGTTTCCCTGAAAAAATTCCACTCCTCCAGTTTTTTCATTCCAACTTCTGACAATCTTTTGCGTCATTCTGTGAATATGTATAATCAACATATTTTATTTGCCAAGGAATAGATTTGCGTCTGGAGTTCCAAGTATTTTTTGTTCAGGGATCATAGTGCTTAAGCCTTCGCGCCTACTTTTGAGAGCTGGCACCCTGGTACTACCACAGACAGCAGGTTGTTAGAGTAACCGGAGTTGGAAGCTTTGAATTCGTACTCCTTCCTTATAAGGCATCCTATTTGCGTGAAGACCCAATTCATCCGTTCAATTTAGCCTTGCTATTTTTAATTGTATAGGTATCTTATTTTTTCCTGAAATAAAAATTCGTAATCGATTTCTTTTTATTAAGTGTTTAGTTTTTATGGGACTAGGTAAAATAAACATGATTTTATATTAATCAGATATGTTTAATTTTGTATCACTCAATAGTTATAAATATGTTTATTTACATTCAAGTATGTTTATGACAATATGACTATCTCACGGTGTTATTATTTTATCACAGAGATGTAGATGTAGGTACCTAATGTTAAACACCCCATTGGGTCATATTATTTTAAGATTATTTAGGTGCTTATACATAAATTAATAACTATTGTGATCTAACATGAACACCGTTTATTTTTAGCTAGCCATAGTCACTTAAGAATTACTTGGCACATAGAAATCATGCCGTTTTATCAAATAGGCGCCTAAAATTACATGTATACTGATTAATAAAAACTTTACAGCGTCGTAAATATCATCTGGTTCCCACTTTGGTGCTTTTGATCGAATAGGCGAAAAATTACTTTCACTAGATGAAAAATTACTTTCTATCTTCATCTCCCTCCTTATTCTTTCGAGTACTTTTTGTTTCTTTCGTTGCGCCTGTTTCGCTTTTACATGTTTCGCAGCTAGGTCTGAACTAGTTTTACTCATATTGACCTAATTGCTTATAAATTTGCCATGTCTGTATTGTTGTTTTCTGGGATTATTTAGGTCCACAAATGTGATGTTTTAACACCTAAAAGCAGATTCTTTTTTTTACTGTTAGTTATGGTATTATCTTAGAGTGGTTACACACGGCGACTTTCAACAGCGAAGCAAATGCGATGCACAAGGGATGCAGTCGCTAATCGTCTACGTTTACACATGCGCACGATATTAAACAGCGATGCAAACGCGATGCAAGCGCGCGACTGCATTGATACAAACGCGTGATTGTATCGTTCGATTGTATCACCGTGTCTAACTACTCTTAGGATGTTGCCTACGAGGTTGACCGTGCTATAGACACGGCGGAGCCTCAGAACTTCTACGACAGAGATGCGTCTGATACTCACAGAACGCTGTGAAGGGTGGTCAATGTACGTCGAGAATGGGCTGAACTCTCGATGCTGAAGTCGGTATCTAATGAACGGAGCAAATTGGAAACTTCCAAGCTGAACAGCAGCAGAGAAAGTACGTAAACTTGAGGAAAGGAAGCCAAAATTTTCGTAGGCAGATAACTTGGTGGGCGTACCAAGATCCTGTCCCCTCTCGCTTTACAATCTAAATACAAAAAGGTATTTCCAGGGGTTAATGATAAGTGAAGATTTAATATTACGGTATTTTATCGAGTCGAGTGAAGGCCTATTGGCTTTTCTTTTTACGACGATATTGCAAAGGACATTTCATTTTTTTATTAATACATTTCACGACCAATCTGTTATTTTTTCCATCTTTCAAGGTAAAAAGTGTATTTTGTTGTAAATAGGTACTAAAATAAATTATGTTTTTACGAAAACACGATGAAACTACTATTGTAAAATAGTACTGGGCATAGAGAAGAACCATAACCATCATGTATAACCATTTCAATGCATAAAAACTACGAATAAGGTGACCGCACACATGTCCGTTCCGAACGCTTCGAAAGAGCCGAAAGAATCGAATGATTCGCTAAAAGAATTCGGAAGGTACCCAAATGCCAGACGAATTCGGATAGTGTTAAATTTAAACTTTTATGTTATATAAATATTATAAAAGTCAGTTTATTTTTACCACATGAATCCTAACGTATTTAATTTTCTTCATCTTCCATCATAAAAGTAATGAAATTAAAAACCCCGTTAAGTTCCATCATAATGTACAGATAGATTGCTTTGACAACACTGCAGAATTAACGAAACGCAAGTAATTATTTTTGCGCAGCCCACTCTTTCTGCACGGACGGTTCTTCAGGCGCCCACAAGTGTGCGATCGCCATTAATGTAATTATATTTTCAGAAACCTATACGAAATAGAACTAATTGAATGAATGAAATTGATGTAAATACAATGTGGCGTTAAAAGTGACGATAAATATTGGCACAGTTGCTATGGTTACTAGCTAAGCTACAATAAATATAAGTATAATACAGCACGTTGGTCAGCCCTACGTTGGCAATATGCTTAACGGGCTTTTAATTATGCTTAAATAATACACATAACGGGCCAACGAACGCCAAGAATTGGGTTTCGTTTGCATTCATTAGTGCATCAAACAATTCACAGTGTGGACGAGCGCCGAAGGCCAATAAATCCTCAGTGAGAGTGTAAAACGATATAGGCAGAACTATGTGCCGCAGGCTTATTGTTTCATGTTCGAAAGAAAATCAAGAAAGTATTGAATATATAGGTACACGAAATGGTCCACTCAAGACATTTAATTAACTAATTTATTAAAATGCGTAACACGACATATTGCAATTGAAAAATAAATTGCTAACCTATTTATATATGTTTAGTTTATACTAAGATTAACTACTGAATAAAATTTATCCTGACTTCTCTCTAAATTCACGTATTCGTTCTATTTTGTAGCTTATAAAACTAAAATTTCTTTATCGTCATCTATCTTGAGCTGTTCGTGTAGGTACGAACTAATTATTGTGCCGCAGGTCGATGCATTATAAATCTTATCTTCAAATTACGCCTACATTTAATTCTCTCGTGAGTTTGGGTGTAATTTGTGGTAGTCTATGTGTGTGTGTCCATGGCACCCGCGACACAGGGTTTCCATAGTGCGGGGCTATGTTGAGTGTGTGCGTTATTAAAAAAAAATATTTTTTCTAAACACCACTATAGACTGGTCATTGATGAGCCTCCAGGGCTCATAACCCGTAAGAATCTACAAAATACGGCTACCAACGCCGTTTATTCAGAGTTCAATGGCGATCGTTGGCATGATGTGCACGCAGCATAATTTAAATGATGAGAGACCTACCAAAAGTATAGTAAAACATGAAATACAAGAACGATGTTTTAGTCTCTTTTGTTATCCAAGAAAAGGAAGGCGTCTATATTTCCCTTAGACTATGGAATTGATTTTTTTTCCATCCTCTAAGGTCTATATGTTCTAAGGAAAATGAAGCCATTGGCGACTTTTAACTTGGTGGTTATATTTATTCTCTTTGCGTAAAAAGAAAAAAAAAAACCAGCGCCATTTTCAAATGTTTGATCGATTTTTTCTGTTAGATTTACTTATTTAATAATTTCATTTACAATGGACAAGGAGGATAAAGATAAACTAATGGAAAGTGCGCTTAAACTAATTAATATGAAGCATAACGAAGATAATTTGAGAAAGGAAGCTAAAAAGATAATCAGACAAAGAACTCCAGGGAACAAGAGGACAACTCATTTGTTTATGCACGAAAAATGCCTTACTGAAATTGTTAGTAAATATGACTTAAATTATATGAACGACAATATCATTAAAATTTATTTGCATATATTTAATGCCCTAGCGACTGCTGTCATAATGTGTTTGATTTGTATCTTATTCCGGTGGACATAGCATTATGGGATAATACCAATAAGATGCTATGTTACAGCTTTACTGGGCTCGCCAATTCTTGTTGATATACGTGTGTTTGTTGCATGTTTTCCACCATTGCTTTTACAGAGTAGTAGCAGTAAAATTCGTTCTCGGGATAGAATAGGCGTCAATTGGACATTCCGCTAAATCTCAATGGTTTAATTTTTTGACAGTTTTACGCGGGAAATGGTTTTATCAATTGGACTGAACAAAACAAAGTCATATCGGTTGGACACATAGATTTAGAATTGGACTGAACAAAAGGGGGTACTATGGAAACGGGACTTAGAAAATTTCAATAATTAAAAAAAATTATATTTATTTCAATTAAATAGATATACTTAAATATTTTATTCGCATAGTTCGATATTATCGAGAAAATTAGCGGAAAAAATTTATATTGACTAGGAGTTCAGCACTTGAAAAATTTCGGATTAATTATCAAATTTTGAAAAAACAATATTAATGCTTGTTTCGAGTAGATTGATGAACCTAAATAAACACTTTATTCTTATAATTTTTCGTCTACGACTCATACTTATTGAGAAAATTTGGATTTTTTTGCCCTTACTGTGAGGCCTAGTATTTAGAAAAATTTCGATTGTTTTATTGGATTTTTAACCGATTTCAAAAATAGAGTTACGTATGTTACACGATTACTCTATTTCTATTTGTGACCCGCTTTTAATGATTCTTTTTTTGTTGGAAAGAGGGTACCTCAGTTCAGTAATTGGTCTCATTTAAATTTGAAGAAAATATTCCACCTCTAAGGGTGGAAAACTAGGGGATGAATCCGGTTTCGCACCCTTTCCAGTAACCGATTATAATCAAAATTGGCAAACAGATGTAATTTCATGAACATAACGAGGTCGGTTTCTTTTTAAAAGTTTAACTTTTTAAAAAAGTTGTAATTTTATGTTATTATTCTATTATTATTATACTTCGTAACAGGCTAAGGCATCTAATTAGCTATACTGCCATTTCCAGATCTTAGATTGTACTTTCTTCAATAATTTAATATTCAGATTTTTTTTGCGGGAAATCGTTGTCTTTACGATAGCCATTTTGAAACTCCCAGACTGATCTACTTGTTTCGAATACTTTTTTTATAGTCACTGCATGCAGTCCGCTGCCGTTAAAGTAAAGTATATTGATAGCATATTAATATAATTGTCATTTATTTCCAGCCAAAACAGAAAAATGGCACACACATTATCTTCGCATACTACCACAGCAATCATATAACCAAAATAGAAAACCTTGATCTCTTGTACAATTTGACCCATTTGCATCTTCAATGGAACAAGATATCGAAACTCGAAGGACTCGATAAGTTGTATAATTTGAAGAAATTATATATTGGTAATAACAATGTTAGTGTTGTGGAGAATTTGGAGAACCTGAAATATTTGGAAGAGTTGCATATTGAAAAGCAGAATGTTGATTCTCCTGATGGATTAGCCTTTGAACCTAAGACTATGATGGCTTTGGGGGTGAGTTATTTTGAACAGTCAATCACGGCGTCACTTCACCACACCTGTCAACACGAAGTCGACTCTTGCCGGTCAAAAAAACTTATCGACGCTAGAAAGGCACAATGGGATAAGCGACACGTTAGGTCATATTGAGTTATATATACCGTTGAAATCAGCTAATGTTTCTGATTCCAATAATTATGTTTATGCAATAAGAGCGAAAAAGACGATGCGCGTTTTGCTTCCGCTCTTGGCACCGACTTCTTTTCTGCGTTTATACTTGGACATCAAGCTTTTTTTTTGACTGGCTTAACCTTAACCTGTTCAGTGTCGATAAGTGTGATGACTACCTTATTTGTATTTAGTGTTTGAGATTTCTATGTCTATGAGTATATTAAATCAAAAGCTGATACGTTTGTACAGTGAATATAACGTAGGTACAACATCTATGTTGGGGTTATCAGTAGGTAGACATCGGTCTTTAAAGTTTTCTCTTCTACAACGCGCCCTTCTGGCGGAAGTCCCCGGTAGCTCCCCAAGCCGAGGTCCGTACTCACTTGGGCGCCCCCAGTCCCGCTACTTAGTTGTAAGTGTCCTTTAAAAAAATAAAATACCTTTAAAATAGTTCCGCAAAAGTCGGTCCAGATCTAACGTGTCACGCTTTAAGTACATACGTTTATAGTGGTTTGTTGCTTTATAGTGCTCGTTAAGGGTATTAAACGTATCGGAGAACAAAATCGCGGACATGTCATGGGCAAGACCATTGCGACGACTCGAAGTCTTGATTGCGAGGAAGAATAATTTGGAAGACTACGAGGTAATTATTATTTGTTGTAATTTATTCATTGTTTGAACTTAAACAGCTTCAAATTCCATCTTGCTTGTAGAGCTCCTTGTGGAAGAGTTCGTCCAAGGAAGTACTGCCATCTTACCTGTTTTTGCCGCCAAGCAGTAATGTCAGCATTACTGTATTCCGGTTTTGAAGGTGCTGGTGAAACTACAGGCACATGGGATTTGTCAATTTATGTCTTAGGGCGACGGGCACAGTGGGAGTGCCCTTCAACTCTTTGCGATTTAAAGCTCTGAGTGGCACTGCAACTGTTATGGACAGGCGTGTAGCTTACCGTTCGTCCGTCACTTGACATTATAAAAAAAATATTGCTCACTTTAAGTATGGAGAGCTCATCATTAAATTTATGGTTCTGTTTAGATTTCAGCTCATGGGCTCTTGCAGACAAGTGCACGTCGAATTTGACATTTTGGACTATTCTAATATTATTATATAGCGAGAGGCAAAAGAGTTTAATTTCAACTCTTGTCAAGCTTGGCGTGCTATTGACCCCTGTACTATAGGAGAATGTCAAGTTGTTAACGGTGTCGATTCTTAAATTCTCCAGTTCAATGAATAACATGTCTGTACCTACTTATTTTGTGCAGGTCCAATTTTAGTGACTGGCACTAGTGCCAAAGTCATGTTAGTGCTGGCACTGAATCTTATTGCCTACAACGGTCTAATTATCCGTGTTTCATTCTAGTGGTCCGTGTAGCACGAAAAATAAATAAATAACTTTATGTATGTAAACGTAAGCAGGTCTGGTTACTGGATGGCCTGATTTCTATGTTTTTGTCAACTTTTCGGTATCATTCCATCACAAAAGTGTTACAACGTCGTTCACGCCCTGGTTGTTACTATATGATTGCTAAGAATAAATATTACACTAACATTCCTAGTGTATATCACGCTGAGCACTTGAGTGGCATGGAAATAATGTTTACATGTGGCCAATTGCTTTGCTTGCGCTGGCATGCCCATGGCACTGGCGCCAGTTACTGTATCAATAAAATTGGCCGTTATCTTAATATATAATTTACCCCAGAGTGTTAAAGAATGGTTAAATGACATTTGTGAACAGTATATTCTTACTTTTTCAGAGTGTAGCAGATAGCCTGTGCACTCTGGTTAGTTTGGTAGATGTCAATTTCATCGGAAATCCTATGACCAAGAAGCATCGTTATAAGGAGACTATCATCCCCCGATGCGCGCAACTTCGTATGTTTCATTTATTGCTTTATTCCTAGTTTTATGACCACTATTCAAGATTTTTTGTCAAGTTAAAATTATATTGTTTCATACTCCACAAGATCGGAGTTACAAGCAGATACCACAGATTGTTGTTTGGGGTGCAAGGTTAGCTTATTTTGGTAGTGGTACTTATTTATTCTACATTTTACACGTTTTGTAATGGTCAGTGGGGAAGGATCCTTAGAATTGAGAAATTTGAAACAAGGAGAAGGAAGATGCATATTGTAGGGAATACAACTGAAAAGCAAAATTGCTTTTCGTTTAATTATTCAGCCCTCCTTGTCATAAACAACGCCTTTGCATTTTGGTAACTTTCCAGCAGGTTTAGCATGAGGGGAAATAAATAAAATTAAGTGCGTAGAGATATCTCTCTCTCGCTCCGTACCGATTATGTCTCACCTTCGAGCACGACGTAACAGGAAGAGAAACTCTCTATCGTACCCAAAATTTTCTCTACGCGTGCAAGATATTTCCCTACGACGATCGGTATGCAAACTTGAAAGTATACAAAATTTGGCTGTCAATGTCATGCTATAGTTGGAGAGAAATTGTCTTCATTTGACATTTGTATGCGAGACAACTTAAACCGCATAGCGCTTTGCCCGCGCCTGTAGAGATATTTCGTACCGTCATTTTCGAGAGAAAACTAAGAGTTCGAAGAAGAAACTTTTGTTTTCGGGCTCATGCTAAGTCTGCTGATAATATTGGCACTTAAAGTTTTTGTTTTGTTTCAAAAATGACAATTGCGCTGATTTTGCTTAGCAGTAAAATTGAAACTAAATAACATATTAAAAAACCGCTTATGGCGGGTCGCAGATCTGGTTTCGCTAATTCCAATATATAATGTTAAAATCACACATAATTTCGCTCACAAAAAATAATGATAGGTACACATGAGATTATTAAGTATTGAATTTAAAATACAAATAAGAAACCGCTTATAGGGACGATGATGATATTTATATTTGCTTAAAATGTGCTTTACAAAAGGTCGTACAAGTATATTGGTAGGTCAATGTACAAGTATAATAAAACCAGTCCTCGTATTTTTAGAGGGTTGTAGATCTTTTATGCTCAGGCCACACAAAGGCGGCCGCGGAGGCGCTGAGAAGCCGTAAAGTTAGCAACTTTCTTTATGATAGGAAAGATCAGTTATTTTGTAGTTAGAGGAAACTACATTTTGTTTTCAATCAATTAATAAAACATAGAACCTTGCTTCATTATCATCAGTATTTCAGTCGAATGACGTCCGTCCACTATCTGGCATTCTGCGTCAAAGCGCTTCCGCTGACTGCAGATACGTTAATAAAATAAAAAACAATTTCACTAAAAATGCCGATTACGTTGTTTATGATATGGAAGAAAGTATTGTAGTCTTGTCTAATTCATTGGTCTCCTTGCCTTCTCAGGTATCCTGGATACAGTATCGATCCATACAGCATCCAAAACGTTTCTACAAGGGTTCGATAAAGCGGTGCGTTTAAGACAAATGCACGAGAAGAACAAGCTTGAACTGAACAGACATGGCGTTGAAGAGTTTTTTGACATTAACATGATGTCCGGAACCAGGATCCGTAATGCCATATCCCTACCTGAAACTTCGCCGCAGATAAACAAGAATAAAAGTAAATTAAAATGGATTTATCTTTAATTCTATCTTAGTATTTCGGTTTAAAAGAAAATATGAGAGGTTGGACGCGACATCACGTATGTAAACTTTAACTGTTGCATTTTAAATTTTCAGTTATGGCTGTGGATTCAACATACTCTTTCAATCCTCGTACAATCCGTCGTACTCTCACCCCTCGAGATAATATGGCACCCCCCATGGAACCACCACCACCACCCAAGCAGCCAATCACTAATACAGACGGGATCCCGATCAAAGGAATACTAAAAAAGCCGATGCCTATGAAATATATCTGATGTCTTGTACTGTCTATTTATACATGTATTTATAGGACTTGTAAAAGTTTTTATTAAACTTTTTCGTTTTTAAAATTATTTATTACAACTTTGCTTTTGTTTAATTAAACACCGGTTTAATAATCTGTCTGGACTGCATAGAAATTGAAGATATTATTTACTTTATACTTTGCTAAAAACTAGGCACAATGTCCTGTTGCAATATAATTTAAAAACTAACATCAGCTGATTGCCAATTTGACACTGCCTGACAGATGGTGCGGTTTCGGCGGTTTGTTTACACTTACCTATAATAACATTTTTAAAAGTTTCTTGCTGATATTTTAACTGAATCGGGACTAAAAAGTCATGTGCGATCGAATAAAGGAAGCTATAGATGTTTTGACACAGGAATCGTTTGGTAAAACCTTGACACAAATAAAGTAAGTTTTAATACAATTGTTATAGTTTTCACAAGTATTTTCGTATTTTAGATTTGTGTTTACCAGGTGAGGTAGCTGAAACAGATTCTTTGGAGCCTCTGGAGTTCCATAGAGAGTACGTAGCGAAAAATATACCTGTTATTTTGAGAGGAGGCTGTGCTAAATGGCTCGCTACTCAAAAATGGAATGCCCAGTATTTCAGGTGCTTATTCATTTTTAGTTATTAATTTTATTTTAATTCTTTGAGGTTGACGATTAGTGCTAACAATGAAGCATAGTTTTTATAAATGATTTTTAAACTTAGAGCTCCCTGTAAGACTTTGTAGACACATGAAACTTGTCAACTGTATGTCTCAGGGTGGTGGGAACAGCGCATCGAGTATATAACCAGAAATAGAGACGAAATAAGGGCCATCCGTCCCTGGCAACTCATCAGACAAATATATCACTATAGATATCACTTTTAATTAATATCAACTCTCGTTAGAACTGAAATTACAAATTAGAAAGCTGAAATAGTACAGCGCCAACAACTGACCTGTGTGTATGTCTCCATATATTCCAAAAATATTCTGTATTTATTGTAATAAAGATAATATCTCTAACTATGGGGGGCTGTTCCATTTGGTGCTGTGGGATAAACAGCAAAACATATAATTTACAAACGGAATCACATTTCATCGGTAATTAAATATGAAATATGTAGTTTTTCACTTTTCGTCCATTATAGCAAAGCCCAAGTTAAACTGGTTGATTTGAAGTGAAATGATGACACCCAGTTATTTTTAATTTGTGCTGGCAATGCGTTGCTTAGCATCAGGCGCACAACTTGTACATCCTGTCACAATTATTTTACAAGGTTATTTTAAAATACTAACAACCCCTCAGGACTATATTACTAACTTCATAAACAACAACTTTTATTCCATGACTTTTAACATTCATCAGATTTTACTTTCATACAAAAAGCAGTAGTAGCAGAAGAGCTCCTTGTGAAAGAGTTTGTCCAAGGTAGTACTGCCACCTTATTTATTTCTGCCAGCATTATTGTGTTCCGATTTTGAAGGGTAAGGGTGCTGTGAAGTTACAGGCACATGGGACTTGTTAATTTATGTCTCAGGGTGATGGTCCCTGTGGCAGTGCCACTCTTCTTCTTCTTTTGGTCTTTGCGTTTTAAAGCTCTGAGTTGCACTGCAACTATTATGGACAGGCATGTAGCTTACCGTCAGGCGCGTGACTTGTTCATCCCGTCACTTAATATTATTAAAAAAATAGATTTTAATAAATCGCTCTATATGGTAATAACTGTTTGCAAGACAGAGATGTGATGCGTCGCCGTGGCCGCTTGCACGTTTGAACTTATTCTACCAAATACATTCTAAAAAGTGTCAGATAGTACAACAAAAACTTAAACATTTATTTTTGGTAAATTAATTATATTTTGAAAATGTCATAGAACAAAAATTGTTGTTTATGATGTTGGTAATGTAGTCCTGTGAGGTTGTTAGTATATTAATAATAACTCTGTATATTGAGTAAAGGCTCAGTTTATAGAGTATCTATGAACAACTTTGGATCTTTGATTTACAAACGCATAAATATGTACCAATCTTGGGTTCTTAGTGGGTGGGTGAATTTACAACATTTAGAATTTCAAAAGTAATTTTAATGTCCAGAAACTGCCCAGTGAATTTCAAATAATTGATTCCCCATATTTAATGTTAAAACCGCTAAGTAACAACACTGTGCTGATCATGGCTAACTGTGCGATATAGCCTTCTGCACACTCTAAACAAAGCCCAAATCTATATTTTGATAACTCCCTCGTTAGTCACTGTAAACAAAATACCATTTATTTACTTTTTAAATTAAATATATACTTTTTTATGCATATTGTAGGTCCATATTTAAAAGTGAAGAAATCACTTAGTTCTATTTTTACTTTTAAACAAGGAACCTATAATATAAATAAAAAAAGGATAAAATATTTAAATTAAAAAGCAAAAAATGGTATTTTGACTTACAACAACTTACGTGGGATGTATCGATTTATTGTTTTGTTTCTACAGAGAACTCATGCCAAACAAAAAAGTAGAAGTAGCAATAACACCAAATGGTCTAGCAGATGGTATTGCACAAAACACTGATGGAACAGAATATTTTGTAACACCTTATATTGACGACATGACTATGGTGAAATTTCTTAACCATTTGGATAATAAAAGGTTTGTATTATAGTGTGACTTGTTAAGATTTAGATATCAGGTTGATTTTAACATTTCATCTAATATAAATGCTGAGCACTGAATATGAGGAATAAAATTGACTTCTTATTCCAAACAACATTAAATTGTTACGCATACATATAGTTATTTATGGTTTGAGTACTAACTGCAGATAAAAGTTAATATTATGAATCTGTAATAAGTAGGTTGACATAATGTAAGGGCGCGATTACACGCTAAGAAATTCGACGTGTCTGCTACAGGAAAGATTAGGATGGTCTTGTACACGACAAGAACTTTGTGGGATCTAGCCATGTCTGTTGCAGACACGACATGTTTTCGTGTCACAATATGTTTGTTTACTCTATAAAAAATATTGGCAAGTTATCAGATTTAAACATAGACTAGTTTGAATAATATTAATTTATACCTTTCTGTAAAAGACCGGCTGCTGTGGCGTTCTTTAGGAGAGATCTTTTGGCTGGAATGATGATACCTTTCTGAGTAGCTGCTCAAAAGTAAAGGATATCCTGTTTTAAACCCCTATTATGTACTGTTTTGCAAACAGTTGTTTAAAACTTTTTTTTTAACAGTGAAGGTTTCATAACTTACATTCAGCGACAAAACTCAAATTTGACAGAAGACTTCGGAGAACTCCTCAATGATGTGGAAATGGATGTGCCTTTTGCCTCTATAGCGTTCAATAAAAAACCAGATGCAGTCAACTTTTGGATGGGAGATGAGAGAGCTGTTACTTCAAGTTAGTATATTCTGTAATAAAATTTCAATACCAAGTAATAGTTATTGTTTTTTGTGGCCTGCAGTTATGTGCATATAATAGGTGTTTGTCTGTGGCTGTTCACCCATGATGATTCATTTTTATAAATAGCGCCTAAATTATATTATAAGGAGCAATTATTTTAATGGTTGATTTTGCTATTCTCCAATTCAAGGCGTTTTTCTCTCTCCAATATACTTTGAGTAGTGAGAAACGATTTTTATTATCTCCTGTGTCAAGTCGCTTATAGTAGCGAACTAGGGGATGAATCCGGGTTTGGGCACTTTCCGGTAACCGATTTCAATAAAACTTGGTAATTATATGTAATTCCCAGTACTTTTGAGGTTGGTTTTTTTTTATATATTTATATATATGGCTGCATTACCTTTAACCACTTGCTGGATTCCCACTGTTTTGGAAATTGCAAGTCGCGGGCAAGTTTTTCTTCAGCTTGTGAAGTAATTTATCGTAAGCACGCTTTATGTTCGAAATTATGATGACATTTATGCTCTTTGATAATTATCCGATAAATTATCTGATTCCTAGTTATGTATCTTTAATTTTTGACTGAAAATGACAAACAGTGGGAAAACTAAATAAGCACAAATAAAAATCTTTGGGAAAAGCAGGTGACGTTTGGATACGTCTCTGCTACATTTGCTTTAGTTGTTAATAGATTTTTAAAATGTCAAATCAAAGTACTACAAATACCAGTAGGAAAAGAAACTATTTTCCGGATTTAAATCGCGTGTATTTGTTTTTTTCAAACAAACCAACGTTTCGGGCTCTTTACAGGTCCAATGAGTCAACCATGACCATGGGACCGCCGCATTTAAATCCGGAAAATATTTAAATTTCCTATGAGTAACAATTGCGAAAACCTAAGAACTCGATCTAAATTTACCAAATTATCACTTCGAACCTTACACTTACGTTTACGTTTTAAAATGTCATGTCTCTAAAAGTGACATGACATTATAAAATGAAACTATATCGTAAAAAATGTGTCAACTATTTATAATTCATAATAATACATAATGGGCATTACAATTATTTAATAAATTTCATCTTATTTTTAATACCTAAAAACAACTATGTTTTACAATGCATAACTAATAGTTGTGAAACTTAAAATATTACTCATAATAGTATAAAAATTATTTGCAAAAATAAAAATATAAGTCGGTATCACATAATCTGTTTATGAGAAACAGTTTTTGATTTTTTGAAACTTTCACTCACTTGAAACGATTGCAGGTTTATTAAACCACAAGCTATTATAACAGCTTTGTCTAAGAAACCTGAGAAATATTCATTTACCACAGAATGTGGTGCAAGGTGCTTGAACTCTTTGATTTTTCTTATAATTCTTTCTACAGGTGCTCTTAGATTAGCCAAGGACTGCATACCCTTTGAGACAGGAGGCGGCGGATACTGATGGTTTTCTGGTGGCAGACATATTAATGTCACTGCTTTATCATTCAACGCTTTCCCTAATCCTTTAAAACTTCTATTTGTAATTACCGTACAATTCTTTGGGACAACATCCAAAAACCCACTTGTCGTTAACATATGTGCATCAGACATACCACCTCGATATCCCTTAGACACAAAACCTATCATTCCATCTGGTGTAGCTGCTATCAAATATTTCATTGTAGGACAATTTCTTTCTGTTGACCAAATAGGTATTACTCTTTTTGGATCCAGTGGTTTATCAATTTCAATTTCAAAGCAGTCTAATATACATTGTATGTTTACAAATTCCTTATTGTCATTCAAAAACCTTATTGGCGGTGCTGGGTTCTTTACAGGTTCCAAAGGCCAGCATATCAATGGCATGAAATAATTTGCTAATACATTAACAGTTTTACTGTACATCTGTCTAAGTGTGTCATATGAAACTTGGAATTCATCACTTAATCTAATAAATGCATCATCAGTTTTAATTTTAAATAAGGTTATTATCACACTAAGTTGTATGTGTGGTTGATTATTTGATATGTGTTCGATTATCCAGTAGGCATGTTCTGGTACTCCTAAGTAAAAAATGGGGTTTATTTCTATATTTGTCAGTAAGAATGTTCTGCCTGTTAGATCTTTCCCAGATTCGTCTTCTACAGATATATCTATGTTATAATTATCTTCTTGTAGTGGTAGAATAATTGTAGAATTGTGAGGCACTTGAATTACATTTCTTTCATTACATACTAAAACTCCTTGATTGAGAAGCGAGTTTTCTGTGTTGATGTCTACATTTTCAATAGTTTCCTGTTGTATTATTATGACATTCGCATTTTCAATCATTTCTGAAGTTGTTTGATCAATATTTGGTCTCTTTTCAACTTCCTTTGCCCAGTTTTCATTTAGAATAATTTCAGGTTCAAGGTTTCCCATCATTTGCTTGTCAATTTCTTGGCTGTTATTATTTGTAGGCACAACTTTTGGTTTTTTATTAGCTTGTGGGTCATTCTTTGGTGCACCAGGTTCTTTGACATATACAGACGTAACCTCTAACTGCAGAGACTTAATAAATTTAGGAACTGTTGTTTTTAACTGAGGCTTGCTTTTGTTACTTTTCCATGCATCATAGTTTTCAAGATCTTCTTGCAACTGTGAAATAAAAAAGAAAATATGTTAATAATATAGCTAGTTTTTATTTGAGGTTTTAAAATCAGTAAATTGGTCATATGACAAGTTCATAATTTACTATTATTTGTCAGAATATATTATGTAAAAGAACTTATTGTTAATAAAACAATAATTAAGATGCAAAGCTCTGTATGTATGTAGGGGCTTTGATCATTATTGAACGTGTCAGCCATTAGAAAAACTACAATAAAAACGAACACTTAATAGAGACCTAAACAGAGAAATCAAAATACTACTGAACTAAACATGTCATAAAATATTTGCAGTACTACTTGTTGGCTTAGACAAAGTGGATACAAAGCCCTTAAAACACATCTTATAATTTTATGATATTTATAGAAGTTATTTTTATAAATGGACTGTTTATTATTAAGAGACAATTTGTCGTCAAAAAAAATAAAATACAAAATTCCTCTTACATTTAAATGATCTTCACAAATATACAAAAACCCTGCTGGCAGCTTCCTTACAATCCCCGCAGCTTTTATCCATTCATCTCTATTCTTTCCTGGTACTTGAAAGAAGATTTTAGTTTGGGCAATATCCGTATTATTCTTACACAATGGCATGTAGCAACTTTTGAAGGAAATTCTCCGTCTCGGCTTTTTTGGCATTTTCACCTCAATTGTTTCAGTCAAGTCTTTCATTGGTATATCTTCTTTAATAATGCTTTCTTCAGTAATCATATTTCTTTCATAGCTAATGCTTTGATCTGATAAGTCTGTGATTATTAATGATGAATTATTTTCGAGTGAGGAGTCCATTGTATTTGTGATTTTTAGCAGTGACCTTCGAAGTAATAAGTGATCTGAAAAAGATACTTATTGTAAATTTGATCACAATAATCAGAGTGCTAAGGTTGTCTTTATGTGGGGTGTTATCTCCTGGAATTAATTTACAGGGTTTACTGGTAAAACCAATTGAGGAGCATCAGAACAAAAACTGATAAGTCACATTTTGATTTGTTCTTCTTTTTCAATGCCATTTCTGTAAGTTTCTATGAATAATTTATCAACTCTGAACAGCAACCGTTAAATCCTCCTTCAAAATACATTTTATATGCACAGATCTGAACACAATGCGACAAATCCCCTTGAGATCAGTTATACCATTTAATTACATATACTAGTAACAGTATAATTGGTACTAACCTGTTCCATTTTCCATTCAATGAGACTAGACGAAATTAGAATTAAAATCTCATAATATTTTTGTTATATTAGGGAAAAGGGCGCTGAATCAGGATGTGCTCAAGTTCCCTAAGACTCTTTCAATTAGGAGATTGACAAAATTTCATTTCATGTGGTTTCTTAATAATAATAGTTAACTCACACTGCTGTACTTTATAATAATAATACTAAAAGAAAGGACAGCCATCTGTGTCGTGCTGCCTATCAGAGCTTAGCTTGGATACTTCACAGCCGCACAAATGACAGTACAAATTATGTTTGTTTATTGCTTTTTGTCCATTTCATTTATTTTTGATTGTTTGTTTTTGTATCTTGGTGAAATTACAGGCACATGGGACTTGTTAATTTATGTCTCAGGGTGACGGGTTTAGTGGCAGTGCCCCTCAGATCTTTGCGATTTAAAGCTCCGAGTGGCACTGCGACTGTCATTGACAGGCGTGTAGCTTACCATCACGCGCACGACTTGTTCGTCTCGTCACTTGATGTTATAGAAAAAACTTAATTTTTTTTATTTATTTTTTTTGTTTGTCTAAGTATTAATCTTTCTTTTACATCTCTGAGTCGTGGTGTTGCAATAAAGGTTTTTCAATTCCATAATTAGGAGATCCAAGAGGTGCAATTGAAGAATACGTTATCTTATTTACGTCTTTTCCTATGACTACAACTTTAATAATTTCGTTTCTGTATCCATACTAAGTGATACATTATAATATTGAAGGCCACACTCCTTATTTAGTAACAATCTTTTTGCTTTGTGTTTAATTCGTATAAAAATATATACTTACACTTTTACAAGTAACAACAACTATGTAGCACCTTTATCATAAATTTATTTGAACACTAAATTAACATACTGTGAAAGTTCCTAACAACAGCATTGTTTCATAAGAATTAGCCAAATAGATTAACTATGGTTGGACATGAATTTATTAAACGTAGTTTACATGAAAAGAAATAAGTTTAAAGAAGTAGTAAGTTTTAACTGTGATTATAATTACTTTTCGGAAATGCGACGAAAATATTGTTTTGAGATTTGCGTTTGACACTTTTTTTTTTCAGCGCGTGGCCATAGACAATTTGTACATTGAAAAAATGCACACTGTGGCTCGTCTCGAGTACATTGAATTTTAAAACTCGCTTTTCCTTTCAGTGCATAAGGATCCTTACGAAAATATATATTGTGTTATAGACGGCTACAAGGACTTTATTCTCATACCTCCTACGGACCTACCATTCGTACCTTACAAGAAATATCCAAAGGCGGAGTTTCTGCTAAAGGGACCCAGTTGGGAAATTGTTCGTTTAGAACAAGGGGATGAATTCTTGCCCTCTACATTGCCTTGGATTAGTGTTGGTAAGATCTTACACATTTAAAAATAAGATAAAGTAATGCAACTATTTTTCCGGATTTAAATCGCGTATACTTGTTTTTTTCAAACAAACCGGCGTTTCGGGCTCTTTACAGGTCCCATAGTCACGGTTGATTGAGGTGGTACAGTCATCAACCAGTTATGTCTAATATTAATGCAAACCTCCCTATTTTTTCACTATAATATCTATAAATTAATTTAGTAAGGAGTTCTGCAGTGGGAAAACGAAATGGTCGGAATGTGCAGACTTTTAGTATGGCTCTTTGTGCTATTTCTAGATTTAGAAAGGTGTTTTGATGAGTGCCTCCCCAAGTTGTTAAGCAGTACACAAACAACGACTGACTAAGAGACAAATACACAGTTTTCAGCAGTTTTCCACTGGCGACATGTCTTAAATTTTTGAAAATATAAATTAGTTTTCGTACTCTAGCCGTAAGAGTTTCAATATGGGCCTTGAAGTTCTAATACCTATCTATTGTGATGCCTAAATATTTAATTGTGTTTGTGCTGCTAAGTTTAGGACATATACATATATATAGGTACTTTCTACCGAGTCAAAAGTTATGCGCTAATATTGAATGTGAGTTTAAAGTCGGTTGGGAGAGTGAGTTATAGGAAAACGTCATGCATTTTGTTTTATCAGTGTTCAGGGTCAGTAGGTTGTTTCTAAAGCATTTATTGACAATGTCAAAGCCCGCTTGGGCTATATGCATTACAAACACGCATAAATAGGTGATATCGTAAAATTTATTGCAAACCGTCCATAGGATTACTTCCTTGTTAAGATTTTTAAGCCGAAAATGTAGAGAACTCAATTACATTATGTTACTACTAAGTAGTACCATACTAGTACTGTAGTGACATCAGTAAAAAACGATCTGTAAAAATCACGACGCTGTCTTGGTACACCATAAGTGATATGCATTTTTGATTTCATTTTTGTCAGAACTGAACTGTAAAGATCAAAATAATAACATAGTTAATTTAAACTAATAATAATAATAATTATATAGCGAACTATTTCAAAAATTAGCTTCCAACAACAAAATTTCAGGCGTTCTAAATTTAAAAAACTTAGACACGCATAATAATATCTCCAATGTCTCCTAGTGCTTGAAATTCCTGTTACAATTGTGTTTTTAAGTATTTAGTGGTATTTTTTTTGTATTTAGTGGTATTTTTTTTGTTTTTTATTTCCAAGTATAAAAATCGAAGAACTTTGAACTAAGTTTTCTCCAAAACTCTACAAAATTAGCACACGGGAGTTTTCGTCCTGCGTTTAGAATATTAACACGTATTCCTTGCTAAGCTTCACTCAAATTGTCCGATCTGAATGCTTTTCGAAACACAGTGCAGTGGTGAAATCGTCGGGGATAGTCATTGACTTACAAATAAATGGACGACGAGTCTAATACAAAAAGCACGAAAAAAATGTCCCAAGTCAACCTATTTAAACGTAGTGACATGTAAAGGAATATGAAAAAGCGAAAACGTTGAATTTAAATTGTAATGTCGTCGCAGTACGCTTCGCTGTCAGTCGAACAAATGAAGACTAAAGCGTGAATGACGCTCTGTATACGATTTTAACGCCCTATAAGTTCAGACACTTTTTAGCGCGGACCCGACGTCCATATAATTGTAAGTCAATGGGGATAGTGCAAATCGGTGTTTGTAGTAGGTATTGGTAAAAAGCGCGTATCTGCACCAAACCAAGTTTCACAGGGGAGAGATTTTATTTCTTTGTTATTTCAATGGATACGACTTTCAGTTTTGCACAGTGTCTACGGACTGATAACAATAGATCACGATCCCGTAAATCACGCTAATTTAGTTGCGACGACATTTACGCGGATTTCATTTGGCCACTAAATTACCGAAATGGAGACTCAATCAAATGCTAGTTACGCGTAATTGCACTATCCCCGACGAAATGTTAAAAGGCATAAGACGCTAGTAGCGTACTGATCAGCTACGGTTACGAGATTTGACGTTTAGTGAAGGTGAAGGCAATCTTCTCGATACTCCTTGTTGACGTAGCAATTGAGGAATACACTAATAACGGGCTTTACGAAGACCATCGAATAAATAATCAGAAATAGAGACGAAATGTCATTTCATTTGTTTGAAAACTATTCTGCCATATCATTACTGTGACAACTGCGCTCCGATTGGCCAGCCCGAATTCGAAACAATTGACGGGTGTCATCAGTTGTTTCACATCAAATCGACCAGTTAACATGAGCTTTGCTGTAATGGACGAAAATTGCAAAATTACATATTTAATTACCGATGAAATTTGATTTTGTTTGTTTTGCTGTTTTTCCCCACACCACCGAATGGAACAGCTCGCCATTGTTAGAGATATTATCTTTATTACAATAAATACAGAATATTTTTTTGGAATATACGGAGTCGTATATTAGGACGTAGACTGTCTTCCACAGTTGCTGTGCCCTTGCAGGGCGTCACATATTAACTGCCCTATATTGTAAGTACTATCTGTAAGCTCCATGTGTGATATGCAATAAATAAATAAATATATAAATAAATAGACGTACACACAGGTAAGTTGTTGGCCTTTCTTTATTTCAGTGCAAACGAGAATTGATATTTATAAATGATGCGTCACTGTTGAGTTACCAGGAATGTATGAAACGAAATAAGGGCCTTATTTCGTTTCTATTTCTAGTTTTATATACTCAATGACGAGGAACGCGCGTGTAAAGTTGTAGGAAGTAAAAGGGAAAGACCGCGCGACTGCGCTCATCAATCGCGTATTCCAACACGCGGTCTATCTTGCGCTATTAGCCTCTACACCGACTCTCTTACCGTTGAAACAAAAACGAAGACGAGCAATTGCGCGCGAAAGAACGTTAGCTTAAAAAAATTCAAACAGGTAATCGCGCATATTCCGCGTGTAGGCTTTCCCGCGCGTTGCCTTTGCATTTTCTCTCGTTGCATTGCCTCTCCCGATCGGAAACTGCGTCTCTTCCGAGTCGAGGCGCTTAATGGCGATTCACAATGGGCCGATCCGAAATTTTTGACATTTCAAATCGGACTATAGTTCCTACTATCTTTCCTAATATCTTTCTAACTCACAAGTTAGAAAGATATTAGGAAAGATAGTAGGAATCAGGTTCACCTTTTCGCTCGGAAACCCATCTGATTTCGAGAATCGGATGGGCTACCCGATCGGATCTATTCTGATGTGAATTAACATCAGCTTGCTAATCACGCGCGATAGAGCCTCTGTGTAAAAGTGGCCATTGTTCGGTACTCAATCTTGTGGCGAATCACTGTCCTTCCAAGGTTCAATTTATAGGGCCTAGGAAAGGCGGACGTCGGCGTTCTATTTATTAAATTTTTACCTAAAAATAATCATGTTTATTGTATTAAGTTCACTCTGAAGAACAATTAGCTCTAATCCCGTTACGTCGATATTATTGAAAGTAACGGGTGGCAAACATTGCGAATCTTGAGCTACGAAAGTTGGAATTTACCCAGGATCAGTCTCTTTAACTAGTGTTACGATATCTTCTATGTTACGTCAGGGCTCCGTCACTCGCTCGAGGTTACGCTATAAGTAAGTGCGTACTGCTGAGTGTACCGACGTCGGCACAAGCGCTCATACAAGGCTCATTTGTTTTGTAAACGCCAAATTCATTAATCACAATATTGCGGTACTACACTTCACCACATTAAGAGGCCATTGTCCTCTCACGAAAACAATAAAGCTCGGTGCATATTAATAATATATGATTTTTATTTTTCTCAAAAAACACAAAGGTATAACTTAAACATTATAACTAACAATTACATAATCGGCCTTTGTGAGAGACTGGAGTCCGTACTAGGTTACTAGACCTGTATTACAGATCACCAGGCACTCACCCAACAGAACATTCCAACCAGAATATAATCAAAATAAAAGTGATTGAGAAAAAAAGGCAAAAGGGTTTTGTTAGATTATAAATATAAAATTACTGGCTCAACTACACACGAAGTGAAAATTATGGCATATACTTAAATGGTACACAAACAAATGTAAACAAATCAAAAATTATGAAGCCAAGTGTGTGATGTAGATGTATGTGTATATGTGTGTATATGTGTGTGAGTATGTGTGTGTGAACGCACGCGAGAGAACGCGCTACCAAGATTTAACTGGGAACGGTAAGAAGACTTTCAGTCATGGAATAGTCAAGTCGTAACAACCAATTCGACACTACATGTTTGCAATCAAATCTGCAAAGCCCATAAATCACTAGTGAATGGTTTATTTTGTTATACAAGAACCCACTCAAAAAACAAAAGAATCGCTGAGCAAAACTACTGCTAGCGGCAAAAGGTGGATAAACATGATGCTGTCGACGTACAATAGCGAAAGATGTTGGATTGAAAACCACAAGGGAATGCGCTTTTAGAATTGTGTGTAGAATGAAGAGCTGCCTAACCGTTAAAACCTCGCAATTTTTGAAAAGGTTATATATTATAATTGCCATATTAAATTAATTTAAAAAAATATTTCATATTTTGCAATCGATGGTGTTCAGGTTTCTACCACGTAATAGGTATTTAAATAAGAATACTACTATGGTTTTACCAAATATATTTTTTTTATATTACTTTCTGTGTTTATATATTATATCTAATATTTGACTGAAGTACGTGAATCCACGGTCATGAAACATAAAGAACTTTCTGTCCCCAGATCCTGTAAACCCAGACTATACAAAATACCCCCAATTCAAACGCGCGCACAAGTATCACATTCGCCTTAATAAAGGAGATTGCCTGTATTTGCCCAGCCTCTGGTTCCACCACGTGCGACAGAGCCACGGTTGCATAGCTGTCAACTACTGGTACGATATGGAGTTTGATATAAAATATTGTTATTTCAGGATGTTGGAGACTTTAACTGCAATGTATTGAAATTATTTATTGTTATTAACCCGAATTAAAGTTGTTTTTTATATAAAGACTTACATCTTTCTACATTTATGATTTGAAGTATATTTCACAATTACTATATCGACGGTGGAAATTTGAAATGTCGTAAGGAATAGTTTGTCGTAATGGAAAATGTTCCTTAATACAAAATTTCGCTTCCGAAATTTCAAATTTCGATTCCGAAATTTCAAATTTCGATACATCGACGAAATTATCACCCTTTTATCGACAGTGGAAATGCCCTGAAATACATTTTATGACCTTACGACGAAATTATTTCCCCACATATCGATAGTGGAAATTTGAAATGTCCTAAGAGACATTTTGTCGTAAGTTCATTTTCCCTTACGACATTTCGAATTTTCACCATAATATGATTTTACTATTTATATTAATTATTATTGGAGCCCGATACTTTTTTTTTATTGAAAACATGCAATCGGTCTTATGTGAGACCATAACTAATCAGCTCTGGGGGCCTACCATAACCTTTCCAAAAACAATCTTATTTCAATGTAATCTTAAAGTAAGCTTATTACAATATTACTCATATTCGTACCATGAAAATCTTGTCAACCAAGTAATATATTATTGGCATTATTGCTAAAGTGATTGAAAGAACGAATGATTTTCCAATATTGTCTATTCCTTACTAAAAATAGGAAAGAGATAACGCTATGTGAACTATATAATGCCATCTCTTTCTTTTTTGATGTTCCGAATCGTGTTATCGTAGTCATTGACTTACAATTATATGGACGTCGGGCCCGCTTTGTAAGTCAGTGGGTCCGCGCTAAAAGTGTCCGAACTCATAGGGCGTTAAAATCGTATACAGAGCGTCATTCACGCTCTAGTCTTCGTTTGTTAGACTGACAGCGAAGCAAGCAAAGTTAGACAGTACTGCGATGACATTACAATTTAAATTCAACGTTTTAGCTTTTTCATATTCCTTGACATGTCACTACGCTTAAATAGGTTGACTTGGGACATTTTTTTCGTGGTTTTTGTATTAGACCCGTCGTCCATTTATTTGTAAGTCAATGATCGTAGTATAATGTTTAAGTACTTAATGGTATTTACATTCAGAGGATTTTGACTGTTAAAAAAAGTATGTAACATTAAAAACTATTAAAATTACGTTGTTTTCATTCATTATTCCGCATTTTCATGAAGAAAAATAAATAAAACAAGCTGAGTCTTGAAAGTCACGTTGTGAATTCGGAACTATAGTCCAGTTTCAACTGTTAGTTTCGTCAAGGAGCATCTATACGCCATCTATATGGCGTTGTCATAATTTTACGAAATAAACATCGCGTATTTTTATTTAACGAGAAATTATTTCCTATATGCTAATAAATAAAAAATAAACAAACAAAATATTGAAGAGATATATGTATGTAAGTAAATGAGTTCAACTAAACTTTTAATCATAACAAATCAATATTAAGACAATAAAACTGAAAATAATATTGTTTCCATTGCATCCGCGTAACTATTTTAAGATTGCTAAATTTGACATAAGAGCAATATTACTTTAATGTTAAAGTCGCGTCATAGTACGAACTGAGATAATGAATACTCACAAAGCTGCCAATAAAACATCATAGTTTTAATATTGCAATAAGCTTACTTTAAGCGCGTTATTATACGAAAACTCAATGTAAGGTTAAAGTAATATTGTGTTAAGAGGTTGTTGTAGGCACCCAGTTAGTTGAATCCCAAATGTCTTTACGCTTCTATCTGGCCTTTTAGCTAGTTTGTTAGTATGAGCTATTCTTTCTTTATAGGACTTAATTTCTTCAATAATTGTAGGCATTTTAAGATATTCGCGGATCTCACGTATTTTAGTGAATTATTATTGAGCATTTGCAGTTGAGAATACTGTTTTGGTATCGTTGCAGAATATCAATGTTTCACTGACTAGCAGTTATCAATACTGTAGGTCCGAATTGGTTTCAGAACTGCCTAGTACATAGTTTATTTTCTAGAGATACTTTGGACTACCCAGTAGCCACTCCAAGCACCTGGTTCTATAATTGAGTTTATCACGTTACTTTTGGATGTGGGTCTTCCATGTTAGTCTCCGATCGATGTAGAACCCAAGGTACTTTACTACTGTGTTATGTGGGAGAGTTTCTAGGCCTAACTTTACTGGAGGATGTTTGGATTTTACTGTACTTTGTACATACTAATGTGATTTATATATGATGAGAGAGATTAGGGAGTAGTACTCTCTTCGTGTGAGGTAGGTTGATGTAAAATATGCTAAGCACTTTCCGAACTTGGCATCACAGAAGGTAAATATTACATTATTAAAATGCACATAATTTCATTATAAAAGAACATCCTACCCATAATATCAACCTTGAGACCTAAGTCCAAAGTGATGGTACCACGATTTCGTTTAATAAAGGCTAACGATTCTTTACGTTTTTACAATAAGATTCCGGAGCATTTATTAAAATTGTCATTTCATAAGTTTCAAACCTACAGTATAAGAGTAGGTATTTTAATTGAAAAGTCTTAATACAAAGTTGAAGACTACATGTTACATAAAGATGTATGGATAGACGACATGGGTCTAGATTCCATACAAATCTGATTCGAAATGTATTCCATTGCATTTAAGTGTATTTGAAAAGAGCAATCCCTATAGTTTCTTGCTCTTCTTCGTTCTCGGGGAAGTCAGCACAGTGAACGAGTGTTAGCTTATAAAATGACATTTTCAAGTGCAATTTATTTCACCTATTGAATAAATGTACCTATTGGCACAAATCGTATTTGGGGTTTAGCCGTAAAACGCCGCGCTGGCCCGTGACTTGTGGAAAGTTTTGTCTCAGAGATGGTCCGGCGAGATGGGCGGATGACATCGAGATTAGCACGGGACAGTGGGTAGAGGCACAGAAACTTGGAGGCATATACCCTAGCAGTGGGTGAAGTCAGGCTGTATATGATGATGATAGAATAAATGACACTTTGACTTTGATGCTACAATAAAGCTGTAGTTTTGTGCAGCTTTATTGTAGTAACGTATAATCTAGTAATCTTATATGTATGGTCATAAAAAATTCAATACACTCAGTGTACTTATATGATTTTTTTTTCAATATGTGAACTGTGCTAATAAAAATACAAAATATTATGCTAACATTTTATTCATTTGACAAAATAAATAGTTAGTATTAGTAATAACGACAATGAAACTCTTGCAACTGTTGTCGACGAAGATTTCGTTTTTGTTTTTATCATTTTCACGTTCTGTGTAAAAAAAACTTATATGTAGTGCTAATTTTCTGGAATATATAATAATAACGCACACACAAATTACACCCAAACTCAGGAATGTAGACCATACAAATATTTCTCCCGGCCAGTCCAGGATGGTATCCGTTCGGCCACGGAGACAGTTATCTATTACAATACATTATTAGCTTAAATTTTTTTTGAGCCGGGACAAATACCATGAAGATTTCACTGAAATGTAATAAGAGCGATAACAACGTTGTGCGACATATTGGTATTTTTAACCGGCTCAAACAGATTTAGCGCTCAATACAATATTGTCGTGTTGCGTTTCATCGCAGCAGACATTACGGCCATTCTCACATTCGGTGTCTCAGTGGCCGTTCAAAATCCTTAATGGCACTTGTATCAGTAGAAATAAACCAAATGTAGCAAAACGTACAAGTAATAAATTCAGCTGTGTCAGAAATAGTCGGTTTTTGTTAAAAATGTTTGTTGTTTGTTAAAAATCCACGGCTACGGTAATTAGATCTAATTACCGTTTCCATAAAATATTTGTTTCGTAATAACTCGAAAACTACTTTGACTATTCCAATGCCATTTAGACATATTGATAGTTAAGCTTAAAGTAGTTCTTATTGGTATAATTAAGAAAAAAACAATAGCTACGGTAATTAAGCTGAGGACACCGAAAGTGAGAATGATCGACAAGTGGGCTTTACACGGACACTTTATCGCGTGTGATACAGCAATCCTACGCGATTAAACGCGCGTGTAAAGACCTTGGAAGGAAAAGGGAAAGACCGCACGATTGTGCACATCAGTCGCGTACTCCAAAGCAACGGGAGCTATTATCTTGCGAGAACTGGCTCAAGCTTCGAAAAAATAAAGAAAATTAGACTCTGCTAACATGTAACATAAGTGCGGGATATATATTCGACTGTGGCACGACGTATCTCGGCACACAGATGCCCATGGCTGTGCACACGCCCACCACGCCGCGGGACACGCATGGGTCACCGATGGGCCACGCGCGCAGGTTCGCAGTCGTGCACTTGCCCTCGTGGCAGAGGTGTACGGATACGTTTGCTGTGGATAATAATAACACTTTTGTTTGGAGTAAAAGGGGACATGGGACATTCATTTTCCTGCGTTGCTTGCAGTCCGCCTTGCCGTCCGCCACGTAATGCAGGATTATGAATGTAGTAGCAGTATGCAAGCCATCCTGCAATGGGTTCTGCTAGTCTCCATACGTGGGTCATACGCAGGATAGTGTGTGAGCAGTTTCCTGCCTGCGCGGCGGATTGCCTTGCAAGTAGTGAATGTGGTTTGGTTTGCTTGCTTAAAGTGTCTCCTAAGAGGACCCGTGCCCTGCAGTGGTACGTCTTACCGATGATGAAGACATGGTGGCGCTTGTCAGGGTGTGACGATAATATGCAGAAGGTCGCAACGTGGCGTATACACACACACAGACGATTGAAGATAGGATGAAATTGACCTTGGGAGAGGCCCAGATACAGGTTTTTTTAAAACATGCTATCGAAGACTGTCAATGATATTTTTATAAATTCGAATTATAATTTTTTATAAAAAAAACCGACCTAGAAAGTTCGTAAAATTACATCTATTTGCCAAGTTTTATTGACATCAGTTACCGGGAAGTGCGTGAAATCGATTTCATCCCCTAGTTTGTCACCCTTAGAGGTGGAATATTTTCATTAAAATTAAATGAAACCAATACTGAGGTACCCTCTTTCTAACGAAATAATCATCAAAATCGGTTCACAAATGGAGTAATCGCGAAACAAAAAACGTCGAGTTGAGAACCCCTCCTTTTTTGAAGTCGGTTTAAAATACTGTAAACGTATTTAAACAAGAGATACATAGCAAATATAGGAAGACGTGTGATAGACTATAGAACTATAGAACATGATGCACCGGCGCAAAGTTTTCTACAGAATATATTTCGGTGAGTGTGCCCATGAGCTCCATCAGCTCATCCCACCCGCCCTCTTTTACCATCGGACATCCAAACCTACGGCGGGATATTATCCTCGCTTGGTCGATATTCCCTTCAGGCGTACTAAGCGGTTTTCATCATCTTTTATTATGCGGACAGCCCAAGAATGGAATTTCCTGCGTCTGCTGCGTCTGTGTTTCCGAGCTCATACAACCCGGGTATATTTAAGGTGAGACTGAATAGGTGTCTAGGCGAGCTCGTTCCATCGTAGATCTAATCTTTGCTCCAGAGCTAGGTAGTGGTCAAGGGCAAGTCCATTTAACTTAAAAAAAGTGCTTATAGCGTTGAAGCTGTACCTAGTTGGTTGAATACTCACGACCAGAATAGTCATCATCGGGCCAATCATCAGGCAGCTTGAACCCATTGTCAAGGATGAGCTTTGCCGCGAACTCTGCGCCCACGCAAACGCCGTTCGTCTCGCCCTGTACCTCAATACGGCAGCAGATGCCGCAGCGTCGCGCTCGACTTAGTGCACCGCCCTGAACACATTCCAGTTAGTGACTACTCAACAGTATTAGAACTGCTTTTACCAAGAAGCTTACGGTCGGGGAGTTTCATAGTCATCCAACCCTTTGTACGTATCACTAAGGTTTAAGCTTAGGCTACACAGGCGGTACAGAGGGAAAAACGGTCCGAGGGCGAACCTGCGGGAAGTGAATGCTTACCGGGGCGTGCCGTGGGACTGCTGTGCCCAAGCGTAGTTCGCGGTGGAATAGCGGGGCGAAGGCGGCCAGTGTGACACCAAATGCGGCCACGTTTAATTTTTTACACAGATTTTAAAGAAAGCACATCGCTGTCGGATAAGATCAAGAAAATTTTCTGCTTTTATTAGTGCTACGGAAGCAACGTAAAAGAAATTTCGATCCAATTCATATAGAAACTTAAATAAAAACACGCTCAAGTGTTGTAAAAAAAAATTACGTCCTAGCTCGGTTCCGGATCACACGCTGTCGCTGCTACCGCTCTATATGGACGGTTGCATATAACTCAATGGAATACAACTTCCGCGTGCCCGGCCCGCACTCGGTCTGCATGTTTGTCATGCGTTCAGCCCTGGCACTGTACTCACGTTCTCCGCCCGACATCCGTCCCAAAGCAATTATTAATACAAACTAGTGGAGTAATTTCACAAAAAATAATTTAATATCAATTCAATACAAATTTAAATACTGTTAATAGCGACATCTCTAGCCAGGGCTGGTGGCTGTAAAGTTACCTAACTGGGTGACGAAGCACTTTCATAGATTTCTCATAGATAGCGCTACGGCTAAGTAGTCGTTGAAAAATCAGTTACAAAAATCCAACAAACAAGCCATAGAAAAATTCGTGAGTCCGCTGGTTCGTTCCGTGGCTTAGTTGGCATAGCGTCTGGCATGGTTTGCTAGAAGACGTCGGTTCGAATCCGCCCGGATCGAAGGAATTTTCTCTACGTGTATTAATAATTATAACAAAATAGCTTCGTTTTTATAAAATATGTCAAACTTGAGTCTTCCTGAAAAAGTCACTTAATATGGACCACTAATTCCTAAACTACGGACCAGTGGTGCGCACTATGGACTCTAATAATTTTAGTACGATGGAGTCACAATTTTGTAAATAATTTTGGAACTTTGTTTATGTAATTAGTGTTATTAACCTCATACGTAATTATTATGAATAAATTAAATACTCGCTCTCTTAAATACTATTATGTTTTTTGCAATATTCTCGTAATAAAAGCACCATCTGTGCCAGTGCATTTGTAATTTTTCTTGAGCTTCATTTTTAGGTTAGGCAAGCTTTTTGTTTTTTTTCTTAGACTTAGTAATTTTCTTAGGCTTTACTTTCTATTGCGACCCTAACACGTTCTCATTTTTGTAGCAGTTCGGTTTCTTCCTGTCTTTTAATGATGTTTGTAAATTTAATTTATATGGTGGCAATGTTAAAAATGCAGGTTTAGTAGTTCTTCCTCTATTACTAGATGTTTTGTTTTTACGTGGTGCAGGATTTTGGTGGTCAATAAGCTGAAGATGTACAAGGAACAGTGAATTAATTAGTTTGTGGCATTAGATGTCTCCTTGGATCGATGGGTATCCTGAGAAACTCCTTTTTTATTGTAGGTCAATGTTTATTGCGGTATTATTACGTTGCGGAAGATAATTTTACATAGAAGTGGGTTTATAAACTATATTTTAAGCTTTAATTGCTCGATATTGCGCTTGAAGAGTCAAAAAAGAATTTCGTCCAAAAACGAAATTACGACGTTCGTTGGTTTTACAGAGTTTGGAGGTCAAATTTAATCGACGAAATATAGGTACGTTAGGTTCTTAGAAATTAGTACATTTGGTATAGTAAAATCAGATGTGATCATACGTCAAAATTGCTTTTATCGCATGTCATAAAAATAACGAACTGCATGAAACAAATTATGTGATTTTTTTTATATCTTCTATTTAAGCTTTAAAAGTTATTCCCACGCGTCACGGCAAAAAAGTTGTTAAAAACAAAAAACAAAGATTTGTAAGGTCTGCTGGTCCGTAATTCCATAAAAATAATTGACTGTAATGGCATTATAACATCGTAACGTTCAATAAACTCAAAAAAAGTTTTTTTACTCTTCATTTATTTTGGGGCTTTGATCGTTATTGAACATATCAGCATCATTAGGAAAACAATACCTTAAGAAAACACTTAATAAAATCCAGACAGATAAGAAATGAAACTATTTTTCCGGATTACAGGTCCCATGGTCACGGTTGACTACGCAATAGTCAACGTTGAAAAATAGTTTAATTTCCTATGTGTAACAATCGCGAAAACCTAAGAACTCCAGACAGATAAATAAAAATACTATCTAACCAAATATGTATTACAAAACCTTCGCGGCAATTTACATGTTGGCTCCGACAAAACAGATTGAAATCACCCAACATTAAATGTACGGAAACCAACCTGTGCAAATAAGCGCGGTTTGATAGATTCCGTCCGAACACACTCCATGCAAATGATGTACATCGTCAGGAATCCCACACACTTCGCAATTCGGTGAGGTCAAATATAAAAATTTGTATTGTTAACTTTGTTCCTTTAATCTAGAATCTTTAAGCCTGTCCCTAAAAGTTATTATATTGCAGATGTGCCACTTTTGACGTATAATCACATGTGACTTTTATACCAAGACATATTATATCAATCTCACCGGTCCCTTAGAGTAACAGGCACACTCTTTTAACCCAAGCTTGGCGCACTCGGCGGCGTGACAGGTGCCGTCTGGAAGACATCTTCCCCCCAACGCACATCTGCACAGGCTGGTCTTGGTGGGGCACCCGCATTCGAGGTCCATTTCAGTGCAGTCCTGGAACATGACTGTCGGAATATGAACATGAACCAATTATAGTCAATTCCTTAATTATTCATACGAACGAACAATGCCATGTCATATCCTCCCTCTTTTACGTGGGGCGTACTATAGGCTTCCGAAATGAATAAGAAAAAAATACTATAAATGGTCAGAAATGAATTTATTGTTTCTTAAAATATTCTCCGTTAGCGTTAATGCACTTTTTCATACGAATGAGCCAATTTTGAAAACATTTATGCTACTCGTCCGTGACAATCTCTGAAAAATATTTTTAATACTCTTCGACAGTCTCTTCAGGTGATGAAAATCGTTGACCGCGAACTGGTTCTTCATTTTTGGAATAAATAAAAGTCACAAGGTCAGGTCGGGACTGTACGGGATGGCTCATAAGGTCAACGTTGTTCACCTTCAAAATTCATTTGTCTGTCTGGCCGTGTGAGAACTGGCATTATCGTGGTGCAACATAATACGGCGTTTACGGTTATTTTTACGGAGTTTGTCAAGAATTTCCGGCAAACAAATGGTCGTGTACCAATCAATATTCATGGTATAATGATTCGCCAAAGCAACAGTAGCCACGTGTCCAGTTTTATTAAAAAAAGAAGCGATCATCCGCTTAGAGGCACTTTGCACGCACGCCACTTTGGTTATTTCGGCTCATCTCGAAAGACCCAAACGATCGATTGCTGCTTTCTTTTGGGATCGTAACTATAAATCCATGTTTCGTCACCTGTTACTACGTCCTACGCCAAATTTGATGCCCCTTCGTTGAATCTGGTAAGCATGGCATTGCACCACGTGACGCGATCCGTTTTTTGAGCCTCAGTTAATTAGTGTGGGATCCACCGAGAGCACAGCTTTTCCACACCCAAATATTTATGTAGTATTGTTTTATTTGACTCATGTCTATGCCTAAAGATGCCCGAATCTCATGGGATGTCACATGCCTGTCTGTTTTGATCATACGGCGCGCAGTACGAAATTCGTTACTGAGATTCACACGACCGCGTTTCAATTCTGCAAACCAGCTATAAATAATCGTCTTGCATGGTGCTTCATCGCCAAAAGCAGTTTGAAGCCGAGCGAAGCTCCGCTGAGCTGTTAAATTATACTTAAAGTCGTAGAAAATCATACTACGAAAATTTTCACGAGTTAAATCCATGGTGATGTAGTCAACCAATTTTTAAAATGACGCCACAATGTAAAAACAAGTGACAGTCGGATGAAACAAACTGTATTCTACAGCCAAAGAGCTCCATTTTAAAATGTTGTAATTGCTTTTTAAATATTGTTTATGTAAGTGGCCAGTTCCGGAAACTTATAGTGCGCCCTATGTAGCAGCGATGCAAACGCGATGCAGTCGTTAATCGTCTAGGTACCTTTACACATGCGCGCGATTTTAAGCAGCGATGCAAGCGCGCGACTGCATCGCTACAAACGCGCGATTGCATCGCTACACTTGGAATTTATAGGCGATTGCATCGATCGTGCATCAATCGCGCGTGTCACGAACGCGCGTTTGCATTGCTGCTAAAAATCGCCGTGTGTTGGTTACACGAAGAGTGTAGTTCGAAGAGTAAACCTCCTTGTGAAATATTTGGCCACAACTATTGCCACCATACCTATTTCTGCCGCCAAGCAGTAACTAATGTGAGAATTAGTGCTTTCCGTTTTGAAGGGAAAGATAGCTCGTGAAATTACTGGCACGTGGCTTGTCAACACTATATCTGAGTATGACGGGCACTGTGGCAGTGCCTCTCAATTCTTTGTGATTTAAAGCCTGAATGGCACTGCAACTGTTAGAGATAGGCATGTCGTTTGCCCAGTGGTAAACGACTTGTTCGTGATATCATAATAAAAACAAAGCTATCACACAAAAAATATGCAGCAGACTGGCATAGTTTCTTTCATAGTAGGGGAGAACGGGGCTGAATATTGAACAAATGTTTATCGCTTTTTGTAATAGTATAGTCACTTCTACTAATATCTAAATAATCTTTTTCATAGAGGCAAATTTTTGACAAATTTCGGAGCGGAACATTCAGCCCCGCTTTGGGGCGCGTTGTTCCGCCTTTGAGACAAGTTGTTCCGCCTAAATTATCACAGGATAACAAGGATTTTCTTAAATAAAACCACCTTTTTTATAATTGTATTGTTTATATTATGCACAACGACTTAAAACAAACAACTACTTTCTATTCATCAGTAATATTATTCATAGCTCATTTCTTCATACACACACATAAGTGACTCTATCATCTTGTCTAAATATTTGACATGGCCCCAGTTTCGCATCCTAAAAACAAAGAAAAATGGTCATAAAAATTTTAAGTATGATTGCAGATCAATTGGGGAAGTTGTTCCTAGGAACAACCCGCCGATCGAGGGAGGAACTTATCGCCCCAAATCAAGTTTTTATAAGAAGACTGACATACCGGCAAAGTAATAGAATCAATAAAAAAATACTCAAACAATAAGATTCCTTACTAATGTCACTACAATTTGGAAAAGTTACGTATGAATCGGCTCATAATAAACAAAGGCAGACCAAAAAATTTAAACAAGAAAAATATACTTACGTGATGTTTTGACAGCTCCAAGCACATAGCCACACTTCCGCCGCCGAGAATGCGCATCACCTGACGCTTTAACGTGCTTCACATGTATTGCTATATATTTTTCTTGCAAAGTTATTGCTGTGAGAACAACTTACCCCGGGAACTACCAGACCCGGTCTCCCCTACCTATAATTATGGTAAATCTTATAGGCGGTTGGAGCAAATAAGGTAAAAAATAAACAAAAGGACGTGTAACGGCTCTGCCTCACGATGTCTTTGTCTACTGCGTCTATGGCGTCCGAGATCCAAATCTGGTTTGAAAGAGTAAGATTAATAGCAGTAAAGTTCCTTGTGAAAAAGTTCGTCCAGGGAAGTTACCTATTTCTGTCGCCAAGCAGTAGTGTCAGCATTACTGTGTTCCGGTTTTGAAGGGTAAGGGTGCTGGTGAAATTACAGGCACATGGGACTTGTCAACTTATGTCTCAGGGTGACGGGCGCAGTGGCAGTGCCCCTCAGATCTTTGCGATTTAAAGCTCTGAGTGGCATTGCAGCTGTAATGGACAGGCGTGTAGCTTCCCATCAGGTGCGAGATTTGTTCGTCCCGTTACTTGATATTATAAAAAACAAGTTGCAAAATCTGATGCTTCTCATAAATTCTGATACCTTTCATTATAAAACTACAAAGCAACATCAAGGTAATGCTTACTAACAATGCCATGCTTCGTGAGGTTGGTGTAGTGACAATCAACTGTACAGCAAAGCCCTTGAGACGGATGACATGTAGCAGATGGCGCTACCGAGCATCCTTCTTTATGCAGCGTGCTGGAAACACAATTGCGTAAGATGAGGCATAAGCTATCGAAAGAGAAGCGACTTGAAAGGACAAAACTCATTGAAAACATTCGCAAAATTATTTCGCGAATTTTCACGAAACAATTTGCGAATATTTTTCACGCTTGAATTTTCGAGAAATCCGGAAGAACGTCCCCAATTTCTTTATAATATCTTCGCCAAATGTTTGACCAGCGAAAGAATATGCTCGCGAAGTGAACGCACGATATGTACCTTAAGTTCGCAAAACGAGTTCTCCTGATTAGTAGCGTTCTTATAGGATTAATCCAGGAGTTGGGCAACAGGTTCTCCTTATGGTTGCCGTTTCACTAAGATCCCTGTGCCAAGTTTTGTAATTGACATTGGTCATGTTGCGGAAGAAATGCTAGAATCGTGAGTATTGGTGCTATTACTAACACCATCATTCCAGGATATCTCTCTGTAACTTCTACTGTAAGTAACTTT